TCATATACAAAAAAAAAGGTATAACTTCACCAAACTTTAACTGATCAAGCTTATTTTCAAAACTTAATCTGTATTTCAGTAACACTGATCACTACTGTGAATTTCAAGACAATTGGCCAATTGATTTTCCTTAAAATGTGTTATAGGTGTTGCATAAATGCTGAAAAAAGTGAAAAAACAGCATAACTTCCCTAAAAATGGCCCGGTCATGCTGATTTTCGAACTTGACTTGTGTATTATGAATTTTCATCAGTTCTGTAAGTTTTAAGCCAAAAGGTAAAATGGTTTTCCACTTATTGTGTTATCGGTGTTGCATATATGCTGAAAAAAAGTGAAAAAACAGCATAAATTCCCTAAAAATGACCCAATCATGCTGATTTTCGAACTTGACCTGCCTATTATTAATATTCATCAGTTCTGTAAGTTTCAAACCAAAAGAAAAAAACAGTTTTCCACTTATCGTGTTATCGGTAAAAGTGCACGGCGACGGCGGCGACGGCGACGGCGACGACAGACGCAGATGATGGCTATATGTACAGCCACATCTGTGTCTGTGCATAAAAACGTGTCACAGGGTATGCCATATAGGTTGAGGGCGCTGCTGAAGGTCATACCCGCAATTACTGACTTTTCATGATTTACTGTAGTGAGTTCTTTGACTGTGTAACATATCACTGTCCGGAGGCTATCATATTCTTTAATATCTTAGCTTAAAGTTAATACTGACATCAAACTGTTGATATGGTTTTCTGGGGGTGTTCCTGTCTTTTGAATGGCATCTTATGTCAGATTTTTTATCATTGACCAAAATATCTCACAACAGAAGACTGGATGTTTTTATTACTCAGTGACATACTTTTTTAATGACTCAAGCCAAAAAAAATTAATCAGCACTCAAAAATAACAATGATAAAAAATATTCCATATGAAGTAGCAACCCTGTAATTTATTTTTGCTATGCTTCCTTTCCTCAACATGCGTGGTTTTACAAGGTCAAACTAGGCCTCAGATTTAGGGCCATTTCTGAAAAACAAATTTGAAAAATATATAATTACCACCCTAAGATCGATGACGGAAGAAGAAACTATAATGTTTGCCTGCTGATTTACCACTAAAGCCTTTTAACTAAATACATGTATAAGTAATGCACTGCTGCTATATATACGATTATTTTAATCAATATATATATATATATATATATATATATATATATATATATATATATATATATATATATATATATATATATATATATATGGACACTGAAATAATGCCGGGTAGCATTTCGCCATGCTAAGTTACCATATGTACAACTTACGCCTCGATTAAAAAGCATTGTTTGGTAAAATAATTGTTCTTTCCCCATCAGTAAAGTAAAATGACAGAAAACGAGTCTGGTATACAACAATCCGCTATCATTTAAAGGTGATTTGCCCCAAAAAAGTGTTTTTCGCGTTTCTGGTATCAATGTGCCTATCGTGGTTATTATGTGGCTCTCACATCACTATATCAGAAGCAAATAAGGAAGCACGTGATGTAAGGACGTAGTACTGTCCTTATAATAAAACTGGAGAAGCACAACGCCGATTTTAATGCAGTCGTACGATTAATCTTACCCTGTATTGACTTTTCTTACATGAATCGTCGATACATAAATGCCATTGAGTTCAGAGTCCTCACCCTGTTTGCCCTTTTTCTTTTTAAGGTGCACGTGCAGTACTTGTAATATGAATTTGTCCAACTGAAATGTACAGGTAATCCTTACTCATTCAACGAAGATTCTGAACTTGAGGGATTGGCAACGTAATAAGTCAAGTTTCCACAGGGCCCATCGTGCAATATTCTTTCCATTTTTTTCTACAGATAAACGTTCTTTTAAGTGAGAAAAGTAAAAGGAATTCGGTTACTTCTTCATAGACGTTAATCATTTTTTCAACATGGCCGTCAATTTGTGAGGGAAAACAAGAATTACAGCATTTGCTGACAGACATTTATTTACTTTATTTGGCGTTTTAATGCGAATTTATCTGAACAAAATAGGGTTAATGATAGCATATAAGCACGTTACTATTATAGAAAAATGACCGCCAAAACATACAGCACAAACTAAAAAAAGAGCTACAAAATCGGTCCATATTTGATTTTTTTAGTTTCCTTAAGGCCTTCCTAGTCTCTTCTATTTCTGTTAATTGTGACATAATGTTAGGTATGACTCTGAATTATCTACAGACTTGACACTTTTTTTCCAAATCATTTTTCATCAATTTTTTTTCTATTTTTCTGACATCTATTAGATGTAATTGTGACATTAGTTCTTAAATTGAATTGGCCAGTAAAGCACGAAAGAAAACCTGATCCTAAGCCTGTAGAATTGGGCCAATTTCTTATACAATCCTATAGGATCTTATAGGATTCTGTAGGGTCGTTTCCTAGGGGGACACGGAATTTTTTTTACCAAAAAGGGAAAACAAGGTCTGTCAAGGTTTTTCCTGTCAGTTGCTATTTCTGGGACATAATAACACTTCAGGTTCAAAGATAGCTCAGTTTCAAATAAAAGTGTATTCTTTAATGCAAGAATATGTATTGCAATAACTTATTACATATCAGCTGCTTGTATCTTAATGAAAACAAAATTACAATTATTATTATTATTATTGTAAATATTTCGCAACTATAAGTAAGATTTCATTTCATTTATTTATTACCTTGGTCTCTTGAGGACCATCAGTCTAGTACTGGTACAAATGTTACAACAACTATAGTTACAACAACTATAGGGTTATTACAAAGAATAATTATAATAGAAATAATCGCAATCATAATCATCGTAACAATACTAATAGTACCTGTAGTAAATTAAATACATGAGTACTTAAATAAATAAACTACTTAAATAAATCGATTGTACATATAGGCCTACTAAAAAGGTGATAAAAGTAATTTAATTATAGGATCATAAGATGTCGTTACTGGAGGATTTGTCAGGCGGCAAACATGGCGAGGTAAAAACAGGATATTATACTGAAAACAGACGGGTACTTACTATCTCTTCACAAATCCACTGAACACTGGATCACAACTCTTCCTACAACCTCCTGCGCAAGCACAGCCGAATATGTTACACTTTCCTTGGCCACAATGCGGATTACTCTGAAGATGAAAAGAAGACACAACTTCAGGACTCCATCCCTCACAGTAGAAAGGCCAAATATGGAAGACATTTAATAGTGATACTCAGCTTCACCAGACCTGATTGACAGACCGTTTTTCATTAACACCAGCAAAGATAAATGAGATTATCGAGTAGCAAGTTTCCGTAAACATGGTAGGAAGACTTTTTATATATTCATCTAATTTAGCTTTGTATATGAAGCCAAATGCAATTTTGGAATAACCTATCGGTATCAATGGGTGTTGGTATGTAGTGAGAACCTTTTTTTATTCTTCATATTTCTATTTATTCATTTGTTGTCTTAATATATCTTCTTTTTGTCAGCAGTTATAAATACTAAAAATAGTTTTCCTACCTTTGTACAGTCCTGGCACCAGCCATTTGCATTCTTGACTTGAAAGCAGCACACCGCTTGGGTTTCTTTAACCATAGTCACTGTCACAAGTACAAATGTTAGTGTGGCGGCGAGATATCCAGACATCTTCTAAAAACAGTTATTTATTTGACTTCAAATATACCTCTAAGGCTCATTTCAAAGTATTAAGACTGATGCTTTTCAGTAAATTTGAGGTAAAATCAAAAGTACGGTTTGGCACTTGTGGGCCTTTAAAACAATCTAATCACGACAATTTCGAAAGACACCTGTTAGCAGCAGTAAAATTGAAAATAAAGTTTGGCAGTTCAAGGGTGAAGAAGAGATGTGTCGCACGGCGACGACATGGTAAAACGAGGTGTCTGTCTCCATAAAAACACATAAGATGTCCGAATAAAAAAATTAACCAAAATATTAACTAAAAATGTTCCACTTTTCCGATTTTTAAAGTTGCTTTGAACTTTCCAGTTTGTTGTCTTTTTTTTTTCAGTTATCCTACGCCCAATTTACAAATCATTTGTGACGGACGTTGACAATGCAAAGCAAAAAGGACTGTTGAAATAACTTAAGCGATTAATCTTACCGGTAAGTTATGCTTCAGGCAGCCGAGAGTCGAGTTGTGAAAGCAGATGAACTCGAATTTACCGTGCGGTAAATATGAGACAACTGAATAAAACGTAGTTCCTATGTAATAGAAAAGATGCAGGACAGACGGTGTCTGAGCCCGCTTTATCTGTCTACCACCCTGCTGGTTTCGTCTGCTATAGAACAATTTCAAAAGATCAACATCGTAAACAAAACCGTTTGTGGCACCGTGATATCAAACATGAAAGGAGTGCACACTACACGTTTTTAATGGAAGCTTTTGGCCGTCTGTGGGCATGTTCAGAACTGATGCAACTTAAATTACCCGGATGACGTCACCAAGAAACGTTCGCCATAAATATGAGGTTTGACATCTAGGGCATACATCTCATTTGAGGATTCGTCTAGCATTATGAGTATTTTGGAGTAACAATTCAATTGAATATTATAGAAGTACTAGAATTTCATATGCCATGTTTGTTACATAAACGTAAAACACATTTTTGAAACACGTATGAGTTCATTATAAAGTTTTAAGATGTCATTTTTAATTTGAATCATCCGAGATAGTTAAAATCCTCGCGGCTTAGCGTAAAAAAAGGTGAATTTTGAGGTGAGAGTGGAGTGAGAAATATTGACAGACTACCAACTGCAATGCGGCAACGAATTGTCAGTACCGAGTACCAGCATCTCAGCACGAAATCTTTTCAAGATAAATTCAAATAAGAAGAGGCATGAACGCACAGACCAGCAGACAGAGGAACCCACCTGTAGACCCCCCACAGTGATTCCAGTACAACTCCATAACATGACTCAGTTTGGGATAAGAAACTCAGAATGTCCAATAAACACTTTCATAACATTTGAATATGCTTGAAAAATATACTTTATTTCATATTATATAGCTTTGTTAAAAAACTTCAAGAAATGGGATGGGTGCAATAAATTTTTCCTGTATAATTGTTACATAACTCCAAGCAAAAGATATATAATATCTAAGCAATACAGGTATACAGCCGATACTACTTATCCATAGTTGTAGGCGTATAATATGCTTAAGTTCCAGATCACTCTCAACATATGAGAACGACAGAAATACAGTTTTAACACAGATTATGGTAATTACTATAAATTTTCATACACCTCCCCTTGTCTCATGTTTGATTTTTTCAATATTTTATGTTAAAATACCCACAAAAATATTTTCAAATATGAAGCCAAGAACAGATTTTTCTTTCACAGTGGTGTCATGTAATAACTCAAAGAACTCCAAGACATCGTCAAACTCAAGTCCCTGGTGACAGAAATGGTTCTCATACTGTTTCATGTGAGAACCCTAGCCTACATGTAGAGCGTGCAAAGATAAAGGCTGCAGGTGCCATTACATTAAGGTACTTACTCAAACAGCCCTTCAGCCAGTTCTACAAAATATTGTCTTTATTTTTAGACCAAAGGTTCTGGTCTATTTCAATGCATGGTGAATTCAGAGTGAAAGATATATGCTATAAATATGGTGTAAAAGGTACCAAAAAAATGCCAATCAGGTCACCATGAAGATGCCTCAATGTGAAGATGTTACAAAAGCTACCTTGAATATGTCATATGGTGAACAATGACATTGCCGTACCATGACGATTTTGAACAAGATACCATAAAGATGCCATGCCATACTGATGCTGTACAAAGTGCCATGAATATGCCATAGCATGACAATGCCATGCCATGATTCTGCACCAAGCATCATGAAGGCATTGCACTAACATGTCAGAAACAAAGAAAAGATAGCATAACATGTAAGTTCTGATAATTTGCCTCCTAGCTCTTCATGGCTGCTGTCACACTAAAGTGCCTGCTAGTCCTAATAGATATATCCATATAAGAACACAAGTGAAGAACTGCTCTTCATGGCTCTTGTCACACTAAAGTCCCTGCTAGTCCTAATAGATATATCCATATAAGAACACAAGTGAAGAACTGCTCTTCATGGCTGCTGTCGCACTAAAGTGAATGCTAGTCCTAATAGATATATCCATATAAGAACACAAGTGAAGAACTGCTCTTCATGGCTGCTGTCACACTAAAGTCCCTGCTAGTCCTGATAGATATATCCATATAAGAACACAAGTGAAGAACTGCTCTTCATGGCTGCTGTCACACTAAAGTGCCTGCTAGTCCTGATAGACCAGATGGTTCTGATACTGGTCTTGGCATGTCAGATGGTTCCTCTCTGAAATACATGAACAATAAGTTTATCATGACATTTGCACACTTTTGTTTTTACTGTACGCGTCAATAACCATGATATCTTGTCTTATCATGAAGACAATTATGAAAGAGCATACAGTGTGTTATCTTTCAAAACTGTATGCGTGTGTGTGTGTAAGAATATATAGCCTGTAACCTTCATGTTAGCCATTTAAAAATGTGCCCGTGTGCATGCATGCCTGCATGTGTGTCTGTGTGTGTATTCGGAGACATAACCATATGCATACTACACTATCTTCCATCAGTAAAAACTCCACACATAACAACATTCCCACAGGCCCTGAACAGATCTCATACATGAAAACTTACACCACGCTACGACATTATCACTGGCCCAAAGCTAACTACCAGTTAAAATCAGAGCTGGACCAGGGGATTTTCTATAAATTTGTTGATTTGGACACGCTGACCCTTAGACTCTGGTGTCCAGAAGGACAGGCAGTCTAACATGTATAGTATGTCACATATCCCTTCAAAGCACAGCTTTATCATTTTATTTACTCGACTCATAATGTGATGCATTACCCAAAAGTTTTATTTAAAGCACATCACATGGGGGGATGGTCACATAGGGAAGACCCCTTTCCAACACAAAAGACCCCTCATTGCCCCTCGAAATATAAAACAACCAGTTAACAATTGCTTGGTGATCTAGTTTAAAACACATCTGTCATAAAAGGATCAAATAAGGGCATTGAATCCCGAACCTGGTGCATCAAGCTAAACAGAAGATAGATCATACTGTCTGAAGCAATCTGTTTATCCATCTTTGCAACATAAATCTTAACATTTTGTGGCATAAAATAAAGCTAGGTGATCCCCGTGTGGCATTTCCAGGAGAAAAGAAATTTTTAATAGAAGAGTTTTCAAATTATCAGGACCACTGACAACACGGAACTAGTGAACAAATTCATTTAAACATCGGACAAATGAATGTTGTATGAAATACAGTCTTTAACATGAAACTATAACTACCATTTAAAGTAACAAAAATATATTTAAGTGTTAGTACATATCTAAACAAAAAGGTAGAGCTGTGTAAAGCCTATTGTGAGTACCATAACAACGAAGAATCAACAGCTTGTGACATCACAGGTACAGTTTACCTCTCCCTCCACAAAAATAAATTTAAGAAAACTACAGAAATCAAACCCAAAGCTCTCTTCCATCTTACCATGTTAAAGCTGTCAGGAAATTAGGGGCTGTCACTTGAAAAATAAACCATCATCAAACATCATGTTAGACAATCATTAGTTTATATTGGACTCATTACCCTTGTCTCATGTGGATATTATAAAGAGAATTTAAATTAGTGCATCAATATTATAACTGTTACATTTTTTCCTATCAATATTCTTCATTAATAACAGGAAAATAAAGCTAATTCTTCCAATATACCACAAACACCCAATTCAAGAAACTGGCAATACCAGTATATGTTGAAAGAAAAAACAGTATTCCATTATAATTCATAATTCAAAGGTATATTAATAGATGCCCCATTTAACATTTGCAGTTATTATCAACCTCATATGTCACTGCATCACGTCACCTCCAAAGGAAAGGAGGCTTTGGGTGCCGCACAGTTGCCTCCACTCTGTGATTTTTAGCCACTGTTGGAAGAAACTAATTCAGCTAAAATTTGAGCACCAATTATAACCCAGCTTATGAAATTCCTTGCTGAATTCATAACATGTTTTGGTCATGTACCTAGCTATAAGTGCCAATTCCAAGAGAAAAGTATAATACCATTATAAACACACGTAAGGATATAAGTATTATATTGTCAAATAGAGGTCGCCACTGTCTGGAACTGTACTTGTCTCTCAAGTTAGTAACTTTTCCTTTATACCTCTTTGAGAATCATGAAAATACCAAGTATTTAAACTATATTATCCAACTTTTGACTAAAATAAACTTAATATTATCGTCATTATAAATTAAAGTAACCTAAATAAACATAAGTCTAAGTCAATCATACATATAAAATAAACATGACCACCTACCGGGTACCAATTTTACAACTTCATACATTTTAATGATGTTTTCATCTACTAGTAATTTGATTTTTACAAGAAGTAATTTATTTTTATAAGATACTAAAATTAGATGATTGGTTTTCTTTAAAATTTACTGTGCATGCAGAATGGGATTTGTTTCCTTTTAACATGGAGCAGCACACTGAACTGGACCAGTCCACTTTGAGAGGTACTCACTTGGAATTACACTACAGAAAGCCTCTGATACTTGACCACACCTTTAGTACTTAGAACTCCTATATCAAGAATCCACCCACACCCCACACAACCCACCCACATTGCCTTCAAACTTGCTGGTACTTCCCCTACCTATAATTATTTTCAAAGCTGTGAGTTCCTGGGTTGCTGTAATCACAGAGGGCAAATCAAGAACCTCCCCCCCCCCCCACCATACCGCACCCACCACACACACATAATGCCTTCAAAAATTTAGTGCTACTTTCCATAAAAGAATCACCTCTACCCCCTACCCAGATGCCTACTAAATTTGACAGCATATCCTGTATTCAGACCCCTCCCTCCCCCATCCTCCAGATCCCTAAAAGACCAGAAGTGATTCCTCTACTTACAGTTCATTTATATCACAGTCGCTCTCTATCCTCCGTATTTGTTTCTTTCTCCTGACAGGTGCTTTGGGAGGCGGCATCATCTCGCTGTCACTAGAGTCCTTGGTGACTGTGATAGCCGGAGGTGTGACCTCTCTCCCTATCTGGAAGATTCATTTTAGCATGATATTAATACTGTCGAACTAGATCTTAAGGAAGGGGCAGTAGACAGGTAAAATACATACCAGACACTTCTATTTGGTTTTGCAGGTAGGATAAAATGTAAGTGTAGAAATGTATAAAATAGTTCATGCTTTCTAGTATTTCAATTGTTTATTATTTGAAGCATATATTTGTCACTTTTATTTTTTTTAATTGTAAAAAGAAAGAAAAAAGAAACACATTATGGTGTTAATAGCATCAATGGTAGCAACAGAAGTGAAAATTGCTGAGGTAATAACAGTTACAGTAGCTACAGACTTAGTAAACTGTATCTCATTAAAGATTTTTGTACCAAATCATAATTTCCCTGAGGAAAAAAGCAATCTTTTTCTACTTATGAATTATTGCTTGACCTGCCTTTGTACCTGTATGGAACGTTTTGCACCATTTCTAATTAAATATTTTAGATCTGAAAAAAATTATTATAAAAGCAAAGTAGCTGTCAGTTAAATTCTTAGCAGACTTCAGAAATAAACAGTATGTAAAACAGGCAGTCAGGGTATGTAAGAAAAACAACATACTGATCCAGATCTTTCCTGCCTCATGTTAGCCAGAATACTTCCAAATGAGCCTGCCCTGTCCCTGGGGGAGGGGGGTGGGGTACCCCTGGGGGACTGGCGGTTCTCCTTCTCGTTCACGTTCTCCTGGGACGATGTCCAAGAGGTGCGGGAACTGGTGGGGCGCATGATGAAGTTACTGATTGCATTGGTAGTCTTTTTGACACGGGCGCTGAATGAACCCGTCCTTGCGAACACGTCTGGAATGGGAAATTTAGTAATGTTAGTTGTGGTTACTCACAGCTGGAGGAACAAAGCTGAGCTAAATTTATAACCCCTCCTCTCAAGTCACTTTTAGTTTCAAAATTATATTTTAAATCCCGTTCTTGGAAGCAATCACTTTTAGTTTCATTCACAGTATGAGCACATGGAAATTAAAATATAACTTCTCATTTTTCATGATTCTTAAAGACCCCTATAGCTAGACAGGGGTGGAAGGAAGCCTCCTTCTGAGAAATATCTTCGGGTTCACCCCTACTAAACAAATGAATGAGAGAAACATCTAGATATTTCAGGTATGGCTTTGCATTGTCATTTTGCAGTAGTTACAATCCAGATAAAAGTCCATTAAGATAATATTATAGTAATCATTTAGAAATTCTCNCTGCAGTTATAATAAACCTCATATGTCACTGCATCACGTCACCTCCAAAGGAATGGAGGCTTTGGGTGCCGCACAGTTGCCTCCACCTTGTGATTTTTAGCCACTGTTGGAAGAAACTAATTCAGTTAAAATTTGAGCACCAATTATACCCAGCTTATGAAATTCCTTGCTGAATTCATAACATGTTTTGGTCATGTACCTAGCTATAAGTGCCAATTCCAAGAGAAAAGTATAATACCATTATAAATACACGTCAGGATGTAAGTATTATATTGTCAAATAGAGGTCGCCACTGTCTTGTACTGTACTTGTCTCTCAAGTTAGTAACTTTTCCTTTATACCTCTTTGAGAATATGAAAATACCATGTATTTTAACTATTTTATCCAACTTTTAATTAAAATAGACGCTATTGTCATCATAAATCAAAGTAATCTTATTAAACATTAGTCTAAGTCAATCATACATATAAAATAAACATGACCACCTACCACCTACCGGGTACCAATTTTACAACTTCTTACAGTTTAATGATGTTTTCATCTACTAGTAATTTGATTTTTACAAGAAATAATTTATTTTTATAAGATACTAAAATTAGATGATTGGTTTTCTTTAAAATTTACTGTGCATGCAGAATGGGATTTGTTTCCTTTTAACATGGAACAGCACACTGAACTGGACCGTCCACTTTGAGAGGTACTCACTTGGAATTACACTACAGAAAGCCTCTGATACTTGACCACACCTTTAGTACTTAGAACTCCTATATCAAGAATCCACCCACACCCCACACAACCCACCCACATTGCCTTCAAACTTGCTGGTACTTCCCCTACCTATAATTATTTTCAAAGCTGTGAGTTCCCGGATTGCTGTAATCACAGAAGGCAAATCAAGAACCTCCCCACCCCCCCAACCCACCATACCGCACCCACCACACACACATAATGCCTTCAAAAATTTAGTGCTACTTTCCATAAAAGAATCACCTCTACCCCCTACCCAGATGCCTACTAAATTTGACAGCATATCCTGTATTCAGACCCCTCCCTCCCCCATCCTCCAGATACCTAAAAGACCAGAAGTGATTCCTCTACTTACAGTTCATTAATATCACAGTCACTCTCTATCCTCCGTATTTGTTTCTTTCTCCTGACAGGTGCTTTGGGAGGCGGCATCATCTCGCTGTCACTGGAGTCCTTGGTGACTGTGATAGCTGGAGGTGTGACCTCTCTCCCTATCTGGAAGATTCATTTTAACATCATATTAATACTGTCGAACTAGATATTAAGGAAGGGGCAGTAGACAGGTAAAATCATACCAGACACTTCAATTTGGTTTTGCAGATAGGATAAAATATAAGTGTAGCAATGTATAAAATAGTTCATGCTTTCTAACATTTCAACTGTTTATTATTTATAGCATATATGTCACTTTTTACTTTTTTTAATTTGTAAAAAGAAAGAAAAAAGCAACACATTTTGGTGTTAATAGTATCAATGGTAGCAACAGAACTGAAAATTGCTGAGGCAATAACAGCTAGTTAGCTACAGACTTAGTTTAACTGTATCTTACAAGAGGTTTTTGTACCAAATCATAATTTCCCTGAGGAAAAAAGCAATCTTTTTCTACTTATGAATTATTGCTTGACCTGCCTTTGTACCTGAATGGAACGTTTTGCACCATTTCTAATTAAATATTTTAGTTCTGAAAAAAATTATTATAAAAGCAAAGTAGCTGTCAGTTAAATTCTTAGCAGACTTCAGAAATAAACAGTATGTAAAACAGGCAGTCAGGGTATGTAAGAAAAACAACATACTGATCCAGATCTTTCCTGCCTCATGTTAGCCAGAATACTTCCAAATGAGCCTGCCCTGTCCCTGGGGGAGGGGGGTGGGGTACCCCTGGGGGACTGGCGGTTCTCCTTCTCGTTCACGTTCTCCTGGGATGATGTCCAAGAGGTGCGGGAACTGGTGGGGCGCATGATGAAGTTACTGATTGCATTGGTAGTCTTTTTGACACGGGCGCTGAATGAACCCGTCCTTGCGAACACGTCTGGAATGGGAAATTTAGTAATGTTAGTTGTGGTTACTCACAGCTGGAGGAACAAAGCTGAGCTAAATTTATAGCCCCTCCTCCCAAGTCACTTTTAGTTTCAAAATTATATTTTAAATCCCATTCTTGGAAGCAATCACTTTCAGTTTCATTCACAGTATGAGCACATGGAAATTAAAATATAACTTCTCATTTTTCATGATTCTTAAGGACCCCTATAGCTAGACAGGGGTGGAAGGAAGCCTCCTTCTGAGAAATATCTTCGGGTTCACCCCTACTAAACAAATGAATGAGAGAAACATCTAGATATTTCAGGCTTTGCATTGTCATTTGCAGTAGTTACAATCCAGATAAAAGTCCATTAAGATAATATTATGGTAATCATTTGGAAATTTTCTTATTTAGTAAGTGCTCATTTTTAATATTTACCAATCATGCAAATAAAATAAGAACAAAACATTTTATAAAATAAGTATACTCCTTTCTCCTATAACAAATTTATGCAAAAATTTCCTCATAAATTAGCATTGACAGCTTCACAATTAGTAATAAATGCAAAAGCCAATTAACAAGTGTCAAGAACACTGCTAAATTAATACTATAATTTTATGCATTGGCATCATGCATATATGCAGCAGATTATATGTGGGATGTGTTGTGTAGCCCCCATAGCAAAATATCTCACTCTCTGTGTTACACTTGTGTAGCCCCCATAGCAAAATATCTCACTCTCTGTGTTACACTTGTGTAGCCCCCACAGCAAAATATCTCACTCTCTGTGTTACACTTGTGTAGCCCCCATAGCAAAATACATCACTCCCTGTGATAGTCTTGTGTGGCCCCCAATCTTACCGGTATTGACTGTATTGCTACTGGTGAGGATTGAACTAGGACGACGGGTTTGTAATAGTTCTGAAATAGAACAACATGCAGAGGTGCAAGCAAACTACATACACCAAGTGGTACTGTGGAAGCCAACTCAAACAACATCAAGACAGTCTCACTCACAGACAACAAGCCATCAGCAACTTTAGCCACTGGTCTTAGGTAATTGGCTAAATTTTATGTCAGACACCAAGTGAAATATTTTTATTTTTGTTTTTTCTTCTCAAAGTTACTTGTACAGGCAAACAACCCAAAATTTTAGTAGTTGTTTTAGATTAATTTCTCATAGTTATAAATTTCATCTTTAGATAGCAAACTATGACTCAGAGTAATTGACTTTGGTCATTTTTTCAATCTAAAGTCCCAAAGACCAGTGGGCAAAGGTTAAGACTGTCAAACAATTCAAACAACATGAAAAACACCAGTGAACCACATCATATAGCAAAATTAAAATACCATACACACTGCACAAAGTCTGGTCTATCATTTACTTCTTTAGAAATTGTCCCAATTTTTTTTGGTCAGTGTGTGCATGTGTGCGTGTGTTTGTTTGTTTGTATGTTTGTTCACCAGTATAAAAGTGACCAAAATGTGATCTTCATAGTGGGAATAATTTTCTGATTTCAATACGAACTATTTATTCCAATCATGGAAGACCAGCTTTTCTACCACAAACACAACCAATACACACTCCAACAAACAACACACATAAAACACTAAAAAATATACACAAGGTTCAAATCACCATAAAAATAGCCATGCACAATATGCAAGTGAATACATGTTACTAATATCATTTATATGAATTTCTATTAATATCAGTTATATTAATTTTAAATTAGTAGTTTTTCATTACAACATGCACATTGTTATCTGATACAAAATGAAGAAAGGTAGACAACATGGCAGATACAATTTAAAAAATTAACACATAATAAATAAAAATATAAACAGACAAATAAATAAGCAAAATTATTTTACAAAAGAGGTTTCAAAGTGAAAGTGAAACTAAAAACATGAAACAGCAAGATGTGCACAAAAGTGAAAGAAAATGTGCTGCTTGGATTGAGAAGAAAATTGTGTGCCATCAGTATTATCTGTGTATCAAGATCAACATTATACAACCTCCATACCATCACCCCAACACCATATTAAACATATTAAAACCATATTAAACATGCATACGATGACCTAGCCCAAAAAGACTATTTATACATATTCCGGATACTATTCACCTTAGTTTGTCCAAGAATATTCAGCCAGCTCTTGAGATGCCATGTTTAAGTTAAGAATGGTGTCAAGATATATAATACATTCTTTATAAAGTACATAAGGAATTAGAAGAGTTAAATTTGTTGACAATCATGGGTATTCAAATAGCACCGGTTTTAAAAGGTTTTAATTTTTTTTTAAATTTAATTGTTGAACTTATTGCAATAGAAATCAAGAAATTCAAGGAACATATTCTAACTCACAGTATAAAAACTGATAAAATTTGGTATCAAACTAACCAGAATTAAAAACCAAATCATCTAAAATTATTCCTCTCTTTTCAAAGCATTGCTTAATGTTTAGAACAAATGAGAAAACTTCCATCTGATTCATTTACGTAAATCTGATAATCTACCAATCAAAATAGGATTTTAAATACTGACACAACATACAGGACTATGGTTACCTCAAAAATGAGTGATTTTTTTTCTTTTTCAGACAGATTTATTTACAACTAGCACCTGTACATCAGGGAATTCACGTTGAGTTTTAGAAAAATAATACCAATTACAATCCTAGAAATATACAAAAGCTTATCAAAATTTGAATGAGTTAGTCATTCCTGGGGGCAAATGGGAGCATTTTCTTCACACAGTCTCAGTCTTTGCCAGTGTGATTGAACTGCTGAGCATGTCTTTCAATATTAGTTCCATTGTTAGTGCCCGATCACCAAGTCTCTGAATTAATTAATGAGTTCGCAGCACCACTGTAGTTGTTCAGAAAGTATATACATCAGATTTTGGTTAAGTATTTAACAAAAGATATAATTAGTAAATAATATAAACCTAAGTATGAAGTTAAAAAATAAACAATGTTAGGAATACCAACATAAACAAAAGAGAGCTTTTCTGATATGTGTGAATACAAACAATTTTCTAGCTTACTTATAAATTGGTTTTTCATTAATAAATGAAACAAAATGAAACAGAACAAAACAGGAGAATACAAAATTTCACAATAACATTAAAATGTTGCAGATACATCTTAAATAATTATAATTCCTAAAGGGTAATAAACAACCACAAGTTTTTGTAAGGACTCTATTAATCTTACTACACAATGCAGAATCTAATCTATGACACATACAAGTTGATACATGCCTAAAACAGATCTGTTTAGATAGACTGTCCTCTATGCTGAATACCATATTTGTATTTGCTAATTTTTATAAAATTAGCTATTTCAGGAGATACTACTATAATAGTTTATAACACCACTGTCAGGGTGACAGTTTCAAATTGGATATTTTCATTAAACCATTTTCCCTTGCAATTCAATTTGAAAGTCAAAATATGTTTTTTCTAAAGCTTTAGCTCAGCCTTTACATCCAAACTATGTAAAACAGCCCATTAATGGCATTTATGAAAAACTGTCCATATTTGGTATTCATGTAAAAAAGCCCAAATATGGTTTTTATATAAAACTACCCAAGTATGGTATTCATGTAAATTTATTAATAATAACAATAAAGCTACTAACAATAGAGAGGCATTATAATCTCTACCGACTCTAGAGCTAAGGGAAATATATCAAGCATTGGAAGTCATGCTCTGAGCCGAATGTTCAGGGTCAATAACTGTCACATTTAGAGCTAAATTTTTCTGCGACCCTGCGTCCTGGCCGCTACGGAAGTCAAAGACAGATTTAGGCGTCCCTGGCGTGCAGGGTACAGAAGGAGATGGTGGCACAGTGAACTGATGGGACCGTTTAGGCCAGGTGGAAATTGAAAGTGAGGCAGTGAGAGAGTCGGAGTTCTTACGCTGGGTTTTGGAGGAGGCGGAGTTCTTCAGGTACTGCTTTGGCTTCTTCCCGCTGTAGTCTCGTATGTTGGGGTCAGCACCTGATGGGAAGAATCAAATATATTAAAATACTGCTGTGATAATTTAATACAAAACTTGAAAATTATAAATTACAACTCAGTGACATGTATGTTTTTTGTTTTTCTTCATTAGCTGTGTGTTTATTTACTTTTTTAAAATATCTTATTTGCCAGCAATTGGAAAGGAAAAGAAGATTATGTCAGCTACTTGTGTTAACTCTTTACAAATGAATCTGCCACTGTTGAATATACTGTATTGTTTATACCTTGTATTTAAGGTATAAACTAAACTTAGGATCTTATTAGCTCATGCAGAATATATATTTTTACTTTATCTGACAGCAATTCTGTTGGTATTTGTACACATGAAACAACTTATTACTTGTTGTCACTTACAACAATTAAAAAATTATGTACCACTTATCATACCACTGAACTAACAGCTCCAGTTCCACCTACCATGACACTGTACTAACAGTTCCAGTTCTGCCTACCATGACACTGTACTAACAGCTCCAGTTCCACCTACCATAACACTGTACTAACAGTTCCAGTTCTACCTACCATGACACTGTACTAACAGTTCCAGTTCTACCTACCATGACACTGTACTAACAGTTCCAGTTCTGCCTACCATGACACTGTACTAACAGTTCCAGTTCTACCTACCATGACACTGTACTAACAGTTCCAGTTCTGCCTACCATGACACTGTACTAACAGTTCCAGTTCTACCTACCATAACACTGTACTAACAGTTCCAGTTCTACCTACCATAACACTGTACTAACAGTTCCACTATGGCTTCATGTCCATGTAGTGCTGCTAGATGGAGAGGTGTGTAACCCTGAAAGGGCCAAAAAATTAAGTTATTTAAAAAGCAATTCTAAGCTCACACTGAGATGATATACTCTGGCTAAAGCAAAATAAAACTACTTTCCCTTTTTTCTTTGTGTTTCAACGGATGATTTTGTATGTAAACAGATATGTAAAAAAATATTAACGAAAGACAGACAATTTTCATAAAAGAATACTGCTTTATGCTATACCTTGGGTGTTTTAATGTACCATAATTATATCTTTAAGAGGATTATCAAAATATTAAGAAGTCCAGTAAAATGATGAAACAAGCCACTGTATTTATTACAAATTTTATGGTAGCTACTTACCCCCTATTGTGTCAATAAAAATCAGCAACATGAAAGAGAAGGAAGTGCTTCATTTATTTAGTAATGTGTGTGTGTGTGTGTGTGTGTGTGCGTGTGTGTGTACTTATGGCATACAACAAGTCTAACTGCAAAGGCAGCTTTAATAATAAACTTGTATAAAACATCATTCCTTATAATCAACATATCTCAGAAAAATGATGTTTTTTTAAACTCATGAAGCCTACTATGCACAACTCATGGATGAAACATGTTATCATTTTGTTTAGTTAGAAGTATTAAGCAATATGATATGAGAGTAACTTAAGGAAATATTTTAACAAGATTTGTTTTTAAAAAATGTTCTACTTACGTGCTGCATGTTTCATAAAAAAGAACAAATAAAGAGTCATCATAAAATATGTCCATAACAGGTATATGAAATGACTTCTCTGTTGGCAATTTGTCATTACAAATGCATCAAATACAGAGAAGAATTTTGTCAGCTGTGTTGTGTTACAAGAATAAAGTAATTTGTTTCAACCAACAGCTAATATTGGCAGCTAATAGTACCTGCAATATTTCAAATACAGTATTTATGGAATTTAAAGTCAAGCTATATTGCTTCTAAGAATAATTATCCAAATAATATTATACACTTTTTGCTAATGTTTGCCCCAGTTGTTTTAAAATGTAAATGGGTAAAAAAATTATAGATCAACAATTTCTACTCCTTTTGGGCATGCGCGCGCACACACACACACACACACACACACACACACACACACACACACATGCACACACACACACACTACTTACTGATCTTTGGTTCACATTCACTCCAGGTGTTCCCGCAATCATCTTCACAGTGTCTGAGCTGCCATGTTTTGCTGCCCAATGTAAAGCAGTCTGAAACAATAAGAAATATAAAATTGGACACCGTATATATTGGCAGATGTGAGACTGAAATCACTAACATATTAGGGATGATCTAACTTTTGCAAATCTTCATAGGATATAAATCATTTGGGAAATTCTAAAATAAGTAAATCATTGTGATATTGACACACATCTTTTCACTTCACCTTTGTATCCATTTCCCCTAATCTCTGTCAAATTAAGATGACGTCCATATAACACAGTTTACCACAAAGTTAAAGCAATAATAACTCTTCCTTTGAGATTCAAAATTCCGCATGAAATACATTGTAAACAACGCATGGAAATATATTCTATTGTATTTTACCACTAAAACGGCCGTTATTGTAGTAAAACTAAAATCTGTGCTTGTCAATAGGGCTTTCGAAGCTTTCATCAAGGCATTCGTTGCTAATGACGTAATGGTGTCACGCGGATTCTCGCGTTCATTCGAGACCAAAATAACATATGGCGCCAAACGCATTAATGCGGACGCAGACGTAAGTTGCGAGTTTTTGTACAGTGCGTCGGATAACAAAAAGCCCAGAACGGCACACATTGTGGATATTAATGTATTTTTAACAAAAAGACGAATATATCTCATGAATCTTATATAGTGTTGTTGTTGTCTGCTTTTCCCGCGGTTTTAAGTAGGTCAACAGTGACTATGCGATGTCAGAGAGAGCTCCGTCAGTTAAAATCTCTTAAGAGATTTTAACAAAAAACCGTACGTTTAGGAAAAAAACCCTGGATTAACTTTGAATGCAGGAATGGGGTCGCTGACCATTGGTAAGTACGGGAAAATTGCCGTTTACTCCAGGAAAATCCAATTTTTGGCCAAAATGAAGAGTTATTATGACTTTAAACGTAAATATTTCGAAAAAAAAAAAAAACAAAAAAAAAAAACTCTGAACAAGAAGAAAATACTTACCATCTAATTTCAGATAATTGTGCGGGAGATGAGAGGAACATTATGAAAAGTAAAGGTGAAACATTCACATTAGAATAGACTCCCCAGACAACAAATATAGATCTACTAATTTAAAGGTCCAAGACCATACCACTTTGTTTACGTTTAAATTTTAACAGGTAAAGGATCATGTTTCTTAATTTTACACATTCATTTATTAATTTTACTTTTTGCATTTCTAAACCATAATCATTCCAATATCAAACAAAGCAAAAGTCTTTATTACACACAACATTGAGTATATTATAAAATATAACAAATTAAACATCAATGCTATAACTTTCACACTACTTTCAGGAAAAAATATGTTGCTATATAGTTATAGTTATGTGATAAGAATATCTACTTAAAATGATAAATATTTGAGATTTGTGGCAGGGACACTTACCCCCTATTATGACATCCATGACAATGTTCAGGAGAGAGTAAATAATAACAAAAACTAAATTAGTCACATTATTAAACAGTAAAC